TCTGTTTCTGCGACAATTGAAGCGTCTTACCATGTGAAGTTGGTGTGGAGTGAAACCAGGATAATTTAGCGTTAAACACTTAAGATATCACACATTAACTAAGTTTGACATGTTTATTACAGCAGCTTTTCTGTCAAATGAAAAGGATGATGACATTTTCCTAGTATTTGGATTATATGGGAGCTCTTGGCTCTCAGGTTTACTTCCTCTTATGTAGATAATGAGGAGGACAGAGTTTGGGAGCTGTTTTGATCATCAAGCTTAGTGCACTGTGGTATTTCCTCTGGTATTTCCAAAGTTGAGGGCCATTCAGTTTAGAAAACTATGCAAAAAAGGGCACAACTTCACAACCACACTGAGAAAAGTATTTTCTAAACTCACTTGTGTTAAATGTAGTTGTACCCAGATAACAAAATTTGTAAATTCAATGTGAAGTTATGGTCACTCTATATGGTCTACTTCGAATCAACAGTACACAAACAACAGTTTAAATGCTGACATAAAAAAGTATTGGATAAGGGCAAACACGTTTTCAACAGTGAAGTACTAACATTATTCAATATTGTCTCAATACTGCAGCTTTCCCACCAAAATACAACCAGTTTATTCACTGTCAGTATGAATATATCCCTGCTGCTTATTCAACATTTTCAATGTGAGGCATCAGTGTAGATTCAAAGCTCCTGTCTTATGATATTTCACTATTGTTTCAAACATATTTTGCTGTCTGGGTAGCTACACGTGTCATCTTGGGAAAACACCTTTGTAATTCCAAAATAACACTTTGTACAGTTGCTTCACTTTGATGACATAACTTTTCCCCTGCCGTTTCAACTATTATTTTGAACAGGCAATGGTAATACAGAATTTTTAGACGATGAATGAAGGCACTTCCTGTCACTCCCAGAAGGGTACAGATATGCCAATAAATAATACCTCCTGTGACATGTTTTCTGTGACAAACTGCTCTATGAGAGTGATAGCTGCTGGAGTGATCAGTGCCCCTGGTTTCGCACCAGCTCAGCTGTAGCTTGGCATTACCCTCACACATTAATCTGTCTGACAAATGTGTCAGACAGATTAATCAAAACCAAAAACCCTAACAATGTATCTGTCCAAAGTAAAATTTCTATCTATTTCAACGGCACAAGACAGTTCTCCCTCCATGAAGAGAAACCAAAAAGCAATAGCTTTTATAATATTGCTCATGAAAGTAACAAATGGGCTCGAAACCTGACAGCTTCTGGGCAGCATTAGAAAACATCTAGGACATTGGAGAGACGTTTCTGTTTCCAATGACAGGTCTCCTTAAGAAGAGCTTCCAGAAACATAATGAGACACTGATGAAACGCTCTGGGGCTCAGGGAGATGGAGGAGGTACGTTGACCAGTCAATATGACAGATACTCTACCTGTTGGCGTGTTTGCTGCTTCACCGTCACTTATCATGGAGTGGGAACTTGGCTGGAGAGCTGCCCAATGTAATGAGATTGGAGTTGGCCAAATGACAGAGGCACTGTTGATGAGACACAACACTGGTGGGACAAAGTCATTGTCTTGCAAGTCACAAAGTAAGTCTCAAATATTGGTGAGTCAAGAAAAGTTTGTGTTTTGAAACCTAAACTAAATCCTATGTCACTAAGCACCCTTCACCAAATTTAGGCTAATGCCAATTTCAAAGTAAGTGATGCAATAAATGTCTTTCTGTGACTCAGTCCACCACTTTGGTTCAGACTGAAATATCTCAACAACTGTTGGATGAATTGCCATGACATTTGGTACATACATACATAAATGTCTCCCTTAGGATGCACTGTAATACCTTGGTGATTAATTTCATCTAGCACCATCATCAGACCAAAGTTGAACTTTTATCCAATGTATACCAAATTCCATGAAAATAAATGATGTTCCTATTTCCCTCAGCTGTAAGTATGCAAATGTTAGCTTGATAACATGCAAAACTAAGATGGTAAACAAGGTAAATAGTATACCAGCTCACAGCTTTTTAGTATTGTCATAGTGAGCATTTTAGTAGGCCTAATACATTTCTTACTTACAAAGATGATAACACAAGTTATGATCTAGTTGTTTGATTGGCTCAAAGTATATTTGATGTCAGAAAAATAAATAGTTTATTCGCTGCACACTTTTTAAATAAGATGATTTTTAATCTATAGGCTTGGTCTTGGTCTCAGTCATTCCAAGTTTAAAGGCTAAAGTCTAAGTTAAGTCACAAGTCGTTGGTATTAAAGTCGAGGTGCAAGTCTGTTTTAGTCAACTCATCATATTAATGACTCTGAAGTCTGACTCAAATTCACACCTATGGGCATCACAATGCTTCATCACTATAAAGACTTTTCATCTCAGTTTTACAATGTAGTCACCGTGTTGTGAGAGGCCAACTGCCCATTCAAGTTTGTATTAGCCTGCTTTGAAATTCTTCTCACACATCTCATAATGATTAAATTGTGTCAATGTCACTTTGAACTGAAGGCCTGTATTTTATAACAGAGCCTAATTTTGACACTGAGCCCTATTAATTGAGCTCTCCACAGACATCTCCCTGTATCTAAAATAGGTAGGAAGTCCATTGTGGAGGTGAAGAGGGACAAAGTAGGCCAAGGACTCTCACAGAAAATAGACTGTGACTCACTGAGAGGCCGTATCATCTTGGGAAAGAACAGGAAATGGGAAAGAATGTGGGTTAAGAATAATCCTCGAAATTACAGGCCCCATGGTGTGATGAAGTGAAGAGGTAATATGTGTTACAACTGTCTGTCAGGCTTCATTCAGCTAAAATAGTGTTAAGGTGATTTGATATTCCAAGCACGTATACTTCGTCAATAAATAGTAGATACTCATTTTATGCTACTTCCTCTACCTGAATATTTTCAGAGTATAATATTGTATTTTCCTTTTACTCCTTTACTGTTACTAGTTACTTTGTAGGTAAGGATTTCACACATGAAACTCACTTTATAAAGAAATCCACATTGTTATAGATTAAACGATCCACAAGTATATAAATTAAGTAAGATTAGCTCCATCTTGACAGCAGTGAAAAGCTTACACATTAATGCATCGTTGATATAAGTCTGAATAGTGTCATACTGCAATTGCATTTTAAGTCAGTTTTGTTGATAATACTTTTTGAATAACATTTTGAATGCAAGACTTGGAGTACTTTCAGACTTTGGTATTGCAACTTCTACTTAAGTAAAAGACCTCAAACCACTGATCATCTGATCACATGACGGACACTTGATAGGATCTGGTCACTCCCATGTACATAAACCGCATATTTGCACATTTTAAATGTATAGGCACTATCACACTTATATTTAATTTTTCTGTTCGTACGGACCATACTCCCATCCATACATTCTGTAGGATTGCTGCTCTCTTCATTGTTTGCTTGTATATATATTTTTCCTCTCTTTGCTTTTTTAATGCCTACTGCATAGCTATAACAAGCCATGTCACAAGATTTTCTCTGTTCTGGGTAATGCAATGTTATTCAGTACATTATATGACAAATAAAATGACTTTCACCTCTTCCACCACTGCTTGATATTAAAGTGAATGTAAAAGCCTGTTTCTCCATCTATTTTGTCCGACTCCTAATAATCTCAGCCACTGACAGTATCCTCCTCTTTTGCTTAATTGGTGATCAGTCCTCTGTATTTGTAGTAAATATGTAAATGAAGTTGCCTAGTATTCCATGTGGCAAAAATGAGAATTTTGTTCACCTGCACTGCCCCCATGTGGCAGTACCAAAATAAATGAACTGTTCCCACAGACAAAACCGTTTCAAAACATCAGCCAATCTTTATTTACACGTACTAACTTCACAAAAAAAACAAAACAATCAAACATACAGATAGTGATGGGCTCAACCCTATACAGAGGTAAAATGGTGAGAAACTCTTAAACTACAAACAAAGCCTGTGAAAAAAAAATGATCCTCTCAACTTATTATCAGGAGTAGTGATGCAGTTGGTAGAGTATGATGTGAAGGTTCAACATCTCAAGTACAGACATACAATTAATATATTTAAACTTGCATATAGTAGATTTCTCAGCTAGTTAGTTTGTACTTAACTTTGACCAATAAGGAAATTACCTATAGAGAAGATTACCAAAGACAAGTTGAGGGCCAATTCTATTAAGACAAAACATATTTTAACTCCACCGCATTCACCGATACACACGGGCACATTCATGTTCAATCCAAACAGACAGACTTGGTGCTACCTTTTCACACTGCAAAACTACACCAAAGGATTCACAGCAATGAAGGCATAAACGTGAGAGATGAAAATCCGAGTTGGAGTGACGTGGGTGGAGGTAAAAGTGACATAACAGCAAAATCTTTTCTTGTGTGGGGTTATTTTTAAACCATTCAGCAATACCACTACCACCAAAGGGCAGGCAATGAGGGTGTGCTGATAAAAACAAACCCATGGCACTTGAACTAATGCAGGAATAAAATCCGGCACTGGAACAGGCAATAGATCTGTGGTAAGGCGTCAACAAGAATATTCATTATCATCAAGACTCACACAAGAATTTCACACATGGTTTTGTCAAAACTCCGCATACAGAATGATGTAAAAGCACTCTTACACGAAGCTCAGTTGTCTCTCTACCCAAACTGAAATCCCCTCTTTGATGTTGCGTCATTAAAGAACATCATAAAAGGTGGTTTCATCTACCAGTTAGCACATTCTGCAAACTGGGAAAGGGGTATCTAAAAGACTTGTGCATGCTTGTATCTGTTGCTTTAACTGGAAATACAAACAGCTGAAAACAAAGATGCAATTTCACTCACATACCTCATTAAGTATTCCTTGGACTTATACACCTCAAACATTAAACTCTATCAACAGCATATTATAGTTTGGGTTTCAAACCTAGTGTCTTGTGGTTCAGTGACTATCAATATGTTCATTACAAACAAGAGGATAGGCATAAGAGGTGCAGTGGAGAGCAAGCAACATGATGCTGTGCACATGTGCAAACTCAGTACTGGGATGCAAATATTAAACAGCAAAGATCCGAAGTTATTTTCCCTCCATACACACTGTATTAAGCTACAGTACATCTCAGCATGTACACAAGATCGGTTTCTTATGTACATAAAAGGTTTTCAAGTATGTTAGAAGACTTCTTTACATAACTGAAAAAACAAACAATAACATGTTTATTTGCATCACTTCTGTGGAAAATAGGGACTAAAGATTTTTTTTTTTTAAAGGGACATTCCTCACTTGTAGTCCCATGAATCTGTTCTAATTGTTTGGATGTCAGCCTCTCCACAATGTGCTATAACACACACACACACACACACACAGACACAGACACAGACACAGACACAGACACAGACACAGACAGACAGACACACACAGACACAAAAATAAAATCAAAAACGCCCAGACACGGCAACTTTCTGGACCGCAGTGGAACCAGTCTGCTGAGTCCTCATTTAAAAATTATTCCAAAAATAAAAAGCCTTTTACAGACAGAAACAGACAGGATGCAACACGCGATGCAGTGCTGAAACTGATTATTGTTATGGAGAGTTGACTGTTCCCCCTCACACCGCACCAGCGCTGTGAAGTTCGCATTTGGTTTTCAATGTCTGGGACAAAGTGTTTTTTTGTTCTAACTCTGGCAGACAGCTATTGCCTTGGGTCTGAGGAGCAAGGTTGTGGATCCAAGGGTACATATTCCACAGGCAAAAGCCTAAAAATAATAAGGGAGAGAAAACAACAACATCTAAGAACCTACAAGTGAGCTAAAACATTCTGCCACTGAATACATTACCAACAATAACCTACCACATGCCTTCAAGGGTTAATTTTACAAAATATATATGTAAAAAAAACAACTACAATCTACTATCTTGTCCCAACTTACATGGAGCAGCGAATCAGGTATTGATAAACATATGGTTCAGGCTACTTCCGTTTCATAGCGGCAGTATCTTCATCCTTCAGGACGAACTTTTTCCTCAGAGCTTCTGAAATCAGACTGGCTGAGTCCTCCTCTCTGAGGGACGTACAGCCTCTGTTGTACCTGCACCAACCAAGATACAAACCATATAATGTAACAATGGTTCAGGGTTATCAAAATACTGTCCTAATCAAATGATGTAATGACAGGGAGAAATGTTAGGAATATTCTTTAAAGCTGGGGTAGGTAGTGCTGAAGAGACTAGCAGCAGGCAGCTAAATTTTGAAAGTATCCAACCAAACAAAATCCCCACCCTCCCTTCAGGCCTCCCTCAAAATACATTTTCATGAGCAACGATTGCATGGGCAGAGTGAGCGCAGGTCGGCAGGCAGAGAGTTAGACAGGTGGGCCAGCCAGTCATTTCATTCGGACCAAATGATTGTCCGTGCTTATTACATTCCTGCGACAGCCAAAGAATTCTTTTCATGTTTTCTGTCAGAGCGTTGGATTTATTGATTACTGTCGGGATGTATGATGTATGAATTCCAACAAATATAACAAAAAAATGCTACTGAAACACACTGCCTACCCTAACTTTAAAGGAGTTGTGGAGCATTTGGGAAAATATACTTATTTACTTTCTTCCAGAGAGCTAGATGAGAAGATGGATACCACTCCCATGCCCATGCCCAAACCAGTAGCAATTTTCTGTTTCACAGGACGTTATGTGCTGGACTGTATCTTGTCCAGACACAGACACTTCCTGGAGTCTCTACTCACGATGACGCCAAGATTCCCGGAGAGTTGCCTTTTTTATGATAGGACAGTTGAGAAACAGGAAAGGGGGTGACATGCAGCAAAGTGCTGTGGGTGGGAACATGCGGCGCACGCTCTAGTTGCAAGCTAACCGGCGCCCGACAATGTGTTATTTAGGAGAGATGCTGATAGTTGGAATTTTTGAACAATTCCATTATCACACGCACATAACAAATAAGCAAACTCAAACTTTGTAGTGTTCAGCCAGCTGACAACCCTTACCTGTCTTTGCTCATCTTCATGCGGTTCATGTCCTTCAGGATGTCCATAACATCAGCAAAGCTGGTGGACTTTGACAGCGACACTGTATCCTCCTCTGCCTCCCGGAAGTCCATGCTGGGTCTGTCCAGGTCAAAGGTTGCTGATGCCGTCATGGAAACAGGCGGCAGAGGGTCGGGGACAAGCTCCGACACCACAGAGACAACATCTTTCTCATCTTCATCTTCTTCCTCCTCCTCCTCCTCCTCCTCAGTGACATCGCTGATGACAAAGGAAGCGGCAGCCGTGGCAGCCGGCTGGTAGGGCGCGGTCTCGAAAGGCGCCATGGAGAAGCTCATACTGGTGTCGTCAGGGGAGAGCAGGTCTGGGGTCAGGGGGTTGGAGCCTGAAAGAAAGAGCAGGGTGGAGAACTGAGTGGGTCTGTAGTTTGACAGTGTTGAGAAAAAACAGATAAGGAAACTGAAAATATCCAGTAGTCCAAATGCCATTTCTATTTTTCTGTTTGTTTCCAATGTGAATTTGAAGCTTGCATATAGGTATGTTGTTTTCAGTAGCTTCCCTCCCAGGCACTATTACAACTTAAGTTGAGTGCTATGGGAGGGTGTTCTCTTAGCAGTATGTGATTTCTTTATAAGATAAGCATTTATTATTTTATACCCCTGAAAGCCCACATACTTCAAGGATCACATTACCTACCCCACAGCTAACTGCATCATTGTACTTATACACATGACACTATGATATACAAGCATGGAGGCCCAGTCTACGTGAGGGCCTTCCCCTAATCACAGACCATCTCACGGCACAAAATCCACAGAACTCAGGGTGCAGACCAGCTTGACAATAGCTATTTAAATCTGATAGCTGAAGTCTCTTATGTTCCTCTTTTAGAGAAAGAATTAAGTTTAAAATCAGCGGGAATACAATACACACGATCAAGGCACTTTCTCTCATGCCATCCCAGTTGGATTTTCAATGAGTGACACCCAACTGACCCTGAACTGCAGAGATTATCTTTGGTCGCTAACCTACAAACTGATGCCAAGACATCGTAGTAGCAAAGAGCTTTAGGAGAATTAGGTCAGCTTACTTGGCAACAAAAGGATCCCAGTCACATGAAGACAGCAACTCAGTGCTGAAACACAGGCTCAATAAAGCATAGTCTGAAGTTTCAATAAGTAGAGTTTCAAGATTTGTTACCATATCTCACATCCCTGTGTGTTTATCACAATTCAAATCTACAGTCAGTGTTTCTCACAGAATTAGAATTTTCTGAGTCAGCTCTACAATGAGATACAACTTTACTCATTATAAATAGTAAAAAGAAAATTGAAAATAGCTATGTTGTATGTGATATTGTGGCTGGCTGCCACAAATAAATCAATGTATGGGAAACGAGTTTAAATTATGTACACTGCAACCCTTGATTTGGTTACCTACCAGAATCACTTGCCACAATCTTGGCGATCTGCGCACGGAGTCTGCTGAGCTCGTCCTGCAGGGCGGTAGTACGGTTCAGCGCCGTCACCCCAGGCTTCCTAAGTCCCTCCATCCTTTTGCCCTCACGGCGGAAGTTAGGCACAGATGAGTTCCTGTGGAGAACCAGGAGGGGCGTGGGCCGCCATTCGTGTTTCAGAGGACGAGAGTCACTCCTGAAAACAGAAGAGAGGGTGATCAGTGTTACTGAACAGTAACCTTTATTATATCAAACCTCATAGGGTTGGGTCCAGCTTATGAAGAATGCTGCATGCCATCTGATGCATTTCTGTTCTCCTCATAAAATGTCGCAGTATTAATCAAAACTTTGCCAGCAGTTTATTAAAGACACAGCCCTATCCAATAGCACAGTAATAATGCCGGTCTTCCTTAAGTTAATAATGTTCAACTTTCACCACAACCTAGGGCTGGATAAATCATTATAGAGCTGAATGCACACCTCTCTGACACAGTCTCAACAAAAACAGGAAATTATAACCATATACTGCATTTCTTTAGGCTGCACATGTGCTCCTAATAACTTAAAAGCACAGAAAGTATCTGATAATGCATTTGTGGAGTAGTGACTTGGCATTACTTAACAACCTTAGTGGTTGTCACTTAGGGCTTGACTGGATAATTACCGCACTCTGGCATATGTCTCTTCTTCATCTGCAACAATCCAGGCTATGTCTGCCAAAGTAGGAACCATAGGGCCATCCATAGGCCTAAGAGGGGCAGGCCTGGTAGTTCCTAATACACAAGGACATAAGTTAATGGTGTATACACATGCATTTCTATTGGGGAATATACTTTATACAACAAGCATGTAGGACTTATGAGATCTGATATGTACCTGGAAACATGCCCTTTGTGGAGGTCTAAGTGGAAGAGTGGAACCTATTCTTCTCACAACGCTACGGGTGGATCCATGAGGCTTATTCTGCCAAATGGGAATTACTTCCTGCAAAGCATTTATAAATGAGTCTGTAATTTGCAATCCTGTACAATAAAGTGGGAGAAAGGCACTGTTAAGTTTAACAGGTTATGGTCAGCTAGGAAGCAAACTCACTGTTTCTGTTTCCATGATGATAGTAGTTCAGTCTCGTTCACTGGGAAGTTGCACACCAATGCTTGGTGAGGAAGAAGCAGTTCAGTAAACAGCCATGCCAGTACCACTGCCAACTCTTGGGATTTAATGAGTGATTAGTTACTGGAGCATCTGTTGATATAAACAACCAGCAGGAGAAATTAAGTGCATCATTACTTTACCGCCAAATTAAAACAAACAGTTTAGAGAGCATTAGAAAACTGGCACAAGAGAAACTAATCATTATTTGATGACTGATTGACTAAGCAAGTAACTTTTCATGGTAAGGTCTCAAATTCATGTGGTTGATAAAGCTTCTGAATTTGCTTAGTTTTTGCTTTTTAGTATCACTAGAAAATACATGATATTACTTGGGTACGTACGCTTGCTTATGTTGGTAAACTTAATCAGCTCACCGTGGTTTGATCAACATATGAAGGAGCAGTGCTAACACAGCTAGCTGACTAACCAACACAGATTGTGTTAACGGTGCAGCTACAGCCTACTTTGACGGACGCGGACAAAACAAAATAATGAACGCCAGAAAGATCACATTTAGTGCAGTGATTTGTGAATACATCTGCTCAGCTCATCATTAGCCGGTAGCTAAGTTACGGGTATCAAAAACACACACCGTCAGTTAGCTTTAGCAGCACCAACAACGACCCCCTAAATGACCCTCAACTGTACACAAACACCAACATTTTTCAGTATGTTTCGCTTATCCCCATAAAATGCAATCAACGGTGCGAGAGTCCGGGAACTTACGGTAGATTATGCCTGTATGTGGAAAAACTAACCCGTTAAATAATTTACGAGACACGGCTTCTCCTGTTTGTCTTTCAGACCGGAGTTGTGTTGTCGTTCTTTAGGCCGGAAACCTGTGCCTCTCTTTCCTGTGATTTGATTGGCTGAACCGACACGAGCGTTCTCTATCAGAACTGGTACAAGAGCGCCCCCACAGGTGGAGGTGAGCAGTGCTGAATACAGGATACTATGGAGTAAACTGTAACCCATGGCAAGCCGGTTTAACATTTATTCCTTAAAATTTACTAGTCGCTATTTAAAAGATACTAGTACTTATTTACTAGTCACGAGTAACTATTCAATTAGATACTCTTTAATATTCCCGTTTTACTAGCAACAATTGATTAGATACAAGTACTTATTTTCTACTAGTCACTATCCCATTCTTACTAGTAAAAATGTTACTATGACTACTACTACTACTCATTAGTGAATGACTGGTAGACTCCAAATCATTACTAGTAAGAAAGAAAATGTTACTTGTAGGCTATCTTTTGGAATAGTTAGCCTACAAGTGACAAATTAATAGGTACCAGCAGGCTATCTAAATTACCATTAACTAATAACTATTATTAATAACTATGGAAATAGTTACTAGTAACTATTCAAATGGTTACTGGTAACTAATGAATAGATGATATCTGAGCTGGAGCTCCATAGATTACAATGGCAAAAATGTGCAATTAGTCACTAGTAACTAAATATAGTTACTAGTGACTAATGGTATAGTCACTAGTAATTAAAATTTAAGGAGGCCTACTAGTATTTAATCGTTACTAGTAAAATGGGAATAGTTACTAGTAATTAATGTAAGCAATCATTTACTACCACTACATGTATTGAAACGATATTGTGATATTATTTTAAATAATTTAAGATTCAGCATAAGTCTGCAGTGAAGGATTCTTTCTGCTGCTACTGGTTTCCCAATGTAAATTTTAAGTAAAACAAAATACATACCCAATTGACCTCTCAGCAACAACTATAATGCTTCTGAAAACAAGCTTATTTAAATTTTTGTTTTTTGTTTCTTTTTTAATCTCATAAAATATTAATTTATAATCATGAAGATATAGAAAAAATATAAAACTGTTAGTGAACAAGAGGCATTAAATAAAAAAGAAATACTATAGGATTAAACAACTGTATACAACAGACACAATAACATAAAAATCAATTTAGAACTCAAGAGCAAATCAATAAAAGAGAAATGGGTCCTTGGGGTCTGAAATCATTTTCAGTTCTTCATGAGCTCAGAGCATAGACTGTTTATAAAAAGGCTCAGAGGAGAAACTTGAGATAATATGTCTGACGGTCTGACAACACAAGATGAATCACTCCCAACTACTTCTGCCTTCGCTGTTGCCTGCCGGTTGGGGGGAACTATCTTGACAATCGGTGCGACAGCACTGGGCGGAGCTTGAATATTGAACTTGTTAATGTTGTCTGCGGTGATACCATAAACACTGCAATATGAAGACTCACATGACCGCCACCCGTTTCCATCCCTGAACAACACACAGGTCAGTAAAGATACCGCTCACTTTACATGATGCCCCTATGAGTTCTTCATTTCTGCTAAACTGCTGATGTAAAAAAATTAAAATAAAAAAAATTCTGCCATAGCTGCAGTCTCGATCATTCTGTAATCTCGTCTGAAATGCTTCCTTCCTCCACGGGTTATCATTGCAACCCCAGCATTTACAGGAAGCAAAATGTAATTTCATTGTTTTAACCATATGCCTGAGTAATGTGAGAAGCTCTGAAGGATGCACGACCAAGCTAAGCTAATCCTGTTGCTGCTTGTAAGGCAGAGATGACTGACAAATCACCACGCGAAGGGATGTGTCATGAGTTGCCGAAATGAGGCTTTTGCACGATGTAGCCAGATGCATTCCATGATATGAAATTAGTCGTGGGTCATGTAAAAATATTTCTGTGCACTGCATACAGCCAGGCAATACAGTATGTGATCCATTTAGATGCACCATATTCATACATAATATTTTACTTCAAATTATTATATAAATATTAATTCTTAAACTAGTCAGAAGTGCTGGTCAGCAACCTTGGAGCACAAGTTCAGAGATATTGATTTCAAGCACACTCATGCAGGCTAATTATATGGATTGACAATTAAATTGAAGGCTCCATTACAATGTTAAATGTCTAGCTCACTTCCTTATGGGGGGATTGTGGCTGCAGGTACAACTTTGACCCCTTTCCCTCCCTCTGCCTAGATGTTTGTAAAATCAGCCCACATTTTATGTGTAGGTGCTGTAACTGGGGCAAAAAGTAGACATGGGGAATAAAAGGAGGAGGGAGGATGCCAGCTGAGACCCTCATCCCTATACAACTGCCAACATCAGACTAAAAAAAAACACACAGAGAAAATGGCTCAGTCTGTGAGGAGGCCCAAGATTCTAGGAGCCATGGACCACGAGCCACAGAGGGACATGACCAGGACCAGCTACTTTGGCAACGTCAAGACCAGGTCAGGCCTCTAAATACCTGCTGGATTACTGGAAGGAAAACAAAGGAGAAAGCTCCAAGTGGACATGTGACATGTTTGGCTGGCATCTGCTATACAGATTTAAGCATGCTACAATTCACTCTTTCATTATTCTATTAATTTCATAAGAAGGGTGTCGTGTCCAGTACCACTAAGCAGGTGTCAGACTACAATACATAAAGGGTCTATTTTTATCCGCTGTTGTCACTGAAGGACTCCATCATGTGCGTGAGAGCTGCGGCATGTTGCCAGAAACTTCCCTGGCCATCGCGCAGACGACTCCCACTCCCCTATAAATAACTCTGATCAGACTATGAACGCTGCTCTATACAGCTATTTACGCATCAAATACTCGAACAACGAACCCTTAAATCCCTGCAATTAAAGGGGAAATCCAAATGTATTTTTATAATTATATTATTATTTATATATATATATATATATATTTTTATAATTCTATTGAATATCCACGCTCATATATATATATATGAGCGTGGATATTCAATTTGACCATAAGGAGCGGTACATGTACAGATGATGTAAACTTAACGAATTAATTCTGAATAAAGACTGAGATGTGTTTGAAAGCTGCAAAAGCTAGTATGTGGACCTTTGAACTTAGACTATTTTGTTACTATAATTTTGTTGTGTATAATAATTAGTCGATTGACAGAACATTTATTTATATAACTTATAATCACTTTGATAATTTAATCATCCTTTAAGAAATCTTTCCAGCACGAATGCCAGAAATTCCCTGGCTCCTGCTTTTGAAATGTGTGCATTTGCTGCTTTTCTATTTCTTACCTGATACTAAATTGAATAACTTTGGTTTGTTAGATAAAATGAGCAATTTTAAGATGTCACCTTGGTTTTCCATAATATTTGATGGCCTTTTTTCACAATTTTCCAACTATTTTATTCTATAGACAAAAAATAATCAGTATAAGAATGTAGATGTATTATAGGTAGTATTAAACACCTCAGTATTTATTTGTGAATTTGAACCTGCAGCAGAGACTGTGGAGATCATTGTTGTCAATAAAGAAATCAGCTGTTTTATAGACATTGGAAAAAAACAAATCGTATGATACATGACCATATGATTCCAGTGAACTCATAAAGTGGTTTTAATGGAATAAGAGGACCTTTTTATGACTTACATGGACTGAGTTATTAATGCTTTGTTGTTTTTTTTAGCATAAATTTAGACTTGTGTGTGCAGATGTGTAACCTACTTAAATATAAGATAATGGATTCATTTACATCTTATCCGTTTTTTCTGCTCTCTCTCAGACTGGGTTCCAAGCTCCCTCCTGGCGTCTCTCAGCCTCCGCAGTTTGCTAAGCGGCCCTGGGAGACTTCACCCCGTGTGATGGAGGAGCCAGCAGCCAGCAGCCAGCGGCAGAACCAGCCCATTGTGGGCCGGCCCCTGAACCACATCCCCCACATCAGAAATCCCAAACTGCGACAGTACTACCTGCAAGGTGCTCCTGTGCTGTTTTCTATCCCTGGGCAGGGAGAGGTGCTGTTTGCATCCAAGTAGAGGCACAGGAGAGGCCGTAGGATGAACTCCAGCTTGAATTTACATTTCATAATTCTCACACTTTAAGTTAATAAAAGTTATTTTCATACATAGAGGAATGGCGAGCATATGCGCCATAGTGTATTAATCCTGTTAGGGGCTCTGCTTCGTCACACGTGCAGGATGTTCTGTCACAAGGCGTGACAGAAATTGTTTTTTTGTTTTTTTTTGCTTACAGGGACTTCATGGGATTTAAACAATACTGCAGTGATGCAAGAGCACAAGGATGGGTCATCAGATAACAACACAAGCTGCAGGGTGAGTCACATGTTTTTGACTTTTCAGGGAACAGGTAAGAGAAGAATTGGGAAGTTTGGGAAGTTTGACAGGCAGATAATGGATTTATAACTGCATCTCTATATAATCTGGTTAGGTATGCTGGAGGAAGCCTGTGGCTGCTCGTAATTGGTTTCACAATTTATAGTCTTTAAAGTGTTTGATAAAGAGCGTCCAAGGTTCACAGCTGTCAGAGCCGTTCTCGAACACCATGAGAAAACAGAGTCTCTTTCAGAGCCTCTGCCACAAGTACAGCCGGAGGAATGTCTATTCAGACGTTTATTCTAAGGTATTTGTCAGCTGGGTTTGTGTGCTGTTTCTGTCTGCCTGTGAGTATTATCATGAATCTGGAAAGGGAGTTAGCGCTTATTACTCAGCGCTCTAGTCTGATTTGTTTCACCTTTGCTTGGAAATTTACCACATCATCCTTGTTTATCATCATCTTTCCTTTTCTTCCCTTCCATGTTTCCTCTCGCTTTCAAGTCATTAACCTTTCACAGCTTCTTTTAGAAATAGATGATTTTTCCTGGTTGCAGTTGTAGCATTCATATTTTTGAGCCGAAGAGGAAGCACAATGTAAAGTTGCCAGTTTATTAGGTACACCGACCTAAAACTAATGCACTCTAACACAACAACCCTGCTTCAGTTATTGTTGAAACTGTTGTTGTAAAAAAGGGGTTGATTCAACTTCATGTATTTTGTAGTGATGTTGAATTGTATTGCTTTATACTAAGATTGAATGTTAGAAACACCTCTCAGAGTGTATGTTGACAGTGAAAGTAGTGATTTAAAGCTGCATATCCTGCTTTTTTAAATTTCTGAGCAGCTTGTGTTTGTAGTCTCAGAAGTCATGTTTTAAAACAAGGGAACGTTCAAATCACACATACAGATCCAGACACATCCACACGTTCACACACATAAAAAAACTACACCGTTTTTTCTTTACTCGAAAATAGTAATGTATTATATTCACGCGTTTGCATCCAGTCTGTTCTGATTCACAAAGGTTTGAACTGATTTAGAGTGGAAGAACTGCAGTGAGACCTGCACAACAATAAAAAACCTAATAATTATAGAATTATTAATAAGTAGTTCCTGAATATCTCAGAATCGAGGACTGTATCGATGATAATGGAGAGTTACAAGAGAACAGACTGGGAGATACTAATAGGTCATTACATACTGTAGTATTAGTTCATAAATATCTTTGTGAGTGCAGTTTTGACGATGGATGCAAAATATGTTGTTCACCCCCAAAACAAACTCACTTATCTTACAAATGAATTTAGAACACCTCCTTGAGAACTGGAGTGTGATCAGATTTTTTGTATTTTAGGGTCTCCCTGAAGACACAGTGTTCAGCGTGTCATCTCAGTTCAGCAGTAACAGTAGGTCCTCGGCAGAAGGAGGCAAAATGGGCCACGTTCCCTCCCATTCCTCTTCAAGTGTACCCTCCTCCTCTGCTTCCCTCCTCTCTAGAGAGGTAAGAGTCAACTGTAAGCACATGATGGAGCTTGACGCACTAATTCAGTGTGTGTATTACATGTGTAAAATGATGGCACTGTTTTTTTGCCTGCTGTGGTTGACTGGATTTGCAATGCAAAACAGGACATTTGACCTCTCTGCCTTATAACATCGGCTACGAGTTTAGCTTTGGGCAGGAAGTGTTGCTTCATCTTAAACTATTTCAGGCAGTCAATACCTCACCCAGACACCTATCCTTGTGAGCAAACACAGACTGATAATATGTAATTTGTACTCTTTATTCACAGTCTTTTTAATGGCATATATTGTAGCTGTAAAAATATTCTTCCAGCCCTCATCCAAAACCATCATGAGTCACATGGAGCTGAGATGTCACTACAAACAAAGAGAAGTGGGGGGAAAACAGGCCTGTAGAGAGAGGAAGTAGTCACTCTTGTCACCGGGTTATAGTGTGTATCTATTTCAATGTCAGAGCTATTCTTATCATGGCTTTCACTCTGAAGCAGCTGGTCGTACCAAAGGGAAAGAACACTCCCACCGGTGGAGGATCGTCTCAGCCAGAACTGGACTCTGATCTTAAACCAAAGCAAGAGCGGGTTGCAGATCCAGACTCTTTGGATATACTCGCTGCTCAGCCTCCTTCCCCCTCACCAGACGCAGAGTATGACAAACTACTGGTGAGTAGAAAAAATAACTTCGATGACATTTTCTGTAATTCAGAAAGCACTAATTTTGCGATGTGCTATAACATACACGTGTTACTGTAGTGAAGAGCAGTGGAAAGTAAAGTACTCTAGTACTGTACACTTTATACTACTTTAATCCACTACATTTGTTTTACAGCTGTAGTTACTAGTTACTTTTCATATTAAGGTTTTAAGATTGGGGGTTTGTAAGATTTTACATAAAATACATTACATTGATAAACATTAAGTCAGTGATTTCCAATCATGTTGACCATTCTCCCCTCTAAACTTTGGTTTCATTTGAATAGCCATTGAAATGGGTCAAATTAATCTATTATTTACATTACATTTATTCATTTAGCTGCCGGTTTTATCCAAAGTGACTTACAAGGTTTCGAGAGATGCCTTTGGAGCAACTAGTGGTTACATGTCTTGCTCTGGGACAAATTGGTGGATGTGTCACAGTGGAGAATTGAACCCTGGTCTCTCACACCAAAGGCATTAGTCTTATCCGCTACGCCATCGCCACCCCTATTTCACAACAAGTCAAAGATTAAAGAAAAGTAGAAACAAATTTGTGTAGCAGAACTTTCTTTTTTCTTCTTTTCTAGCCCCATTAATTATCTGACGACACCTCATATTATCTCATGACTCTTTGGAGGGGCCTGACCCGTAGGTTTGGAACCAGTAGACTAAACCACCTAACTGTTTACAAAGTAAATAAATCAGCTCCATGTTGACCAGCTACAAGTTACACATTGAGGCATCAGTATAATATAATATATATATATATATATATATATGTGTGTGTATATATATGTGTGTGTGTGTGTGTGTATGTATATGTATATGTGTGTATATATATATATATATATATATATATATATATATATATATATATATATATATATATAATCTCATAATGTATCATTCACAGGAGACATTTTACTGCATAACAAGTAATTTTATTTTGATACTTAGGAGTTTGAATTCAAGAATTTTACTTGTCATGGAGTATTTTGAATCTGTGGTATTGGTACTTTTACTTAAGGAAAGGATCTGAGTACTTCACTTTTCACCACTTGTAGAGAGAAGGATGAAGAAGCGTTCCTTAGGTTTTTGGGTTAAATGATATATTGATATATCTTGCCACGTACATTTAAGAATAATTTGTTGAGTCTAATTAAGTGTCAACTGAGAAAACTTCAGTTGACTTCAGCTTTCACATTTCTTGCCCAAAGACACTTCGACACGCACGGGAGCCAGGGATTGAACCGCTGACCTTCCGATTAACGGCCAACCCGCTCTACCTCCTGAGCCACAGCCGCCCCGTAGCATGACAGCTTTTATTTTATCATAAGGCTTATTTTGTTAACACTGATGTGTACTGCTGACAGGATGTGGAGGCGGTGCCGATGCCTGACGGACAGCTTTGCTTACTGGCTCTGCCACCAGAATGCTGTCAGGGGGAGGGACCAGAGGCCATGCAGTACCTCAAACTGTTCTGTCGCTACATCACCGACCGTAAGGTGGGTGTGGGAACTGCACTTGCGTCAGATCTCCATTTTCTACACGTGTAGACATATTTCAACATTTCCTTTCCCTGTCTGTTAGGGTGTGGTTTCCGGTATCCTGTTGGTGACTTCTAATAAGATCTTCTTTGACCCGTTTAAAACCCATCCTCTGGTGAAGGAACATGGCTGTGAGGACTACCTCCTGTCGTGCTCTGTTGACAATCTGGCATCTGTCTCCTTCTTCTCTGACATCTCGAATATTCACTTCAACACATCCCAGCAGAGGTCAGCAATGATTCTCTGTTTCTAAACACAACACACAAACTCACTGGATTAGATTACATGTAAAGTCAATACAAGTGTTTTTTTTTTATTATTTTCTTAATAGGAGAAAAGGAAAGAAAATGTTCCAGAAGTTGAAAACTGCCAAAAGGCGAGCAGGCGGATTCCCAAACCAGGAGGAGTCAGTCCCTGCTCTGGTGTCTGTGGCTCCGTCAGAATTGTCCAGTCTGGCTCTGAGTCTGACCAAAGAGTTCTCTGAGGAGGAGGGGGCAGAGAGCAGAGACATGGCAGAGGCCGAGGGGGAGCTTGATAGCAGCCCGCTGGAGGTGCTGTCAGAGGCTTCTGTGGGTGTCCTGGGGGTGGCTGTCCTGAGCAGTGCTACCACCTTCTGCTGTGGAGGTCAAGAGGAGGCGAGCAAAGTGAAGACGGAGCGGCTGCACTCCTCTGTGAAGAGTCAGACCGCAGGTATGGACGTGAATTCAGATCAGTCTGAGAGATGGTTTACTTTCTTGTTTTTATTTCATTTCCTCCAACTCTTGTACTTGTTTACTTTCAGCGCCTCTGAGGTCATCAGCAGGTAGTCCCGGCAGTCTGATGTTTGTGCGACTGCGGGCTCAGCCGTCTGCAGGAAAGAAAAAGGGTGTTGGAGGCCTTCAGCTGGGGTTGGCCAAAACCTTACCCAGAAGGGATTCCTGGCTTGCCCTCTCACAAGACAGGTACAGTAATGGCCCTAGTCTGGATAAAGCTCCAAAAACACTAGAGCCTACATTTCCCATAATGCAACTCATTAGCATCTTTCATTAGACTCTGCCTGCCCAATAAATACCATCTTCATTTAAATCCCGCACTTCCAGTTTGTGTTAAAAAGTTTATATCTCATGCCCAAGCCAAAATAACTCTGATGACATCACTATCACACATCAGGGTTATTATTATTCAGACTTTTGGAAAGCTCCTTCAGAGCAACAGAAGACATTACATAACTGTTTTCATAGGCTGTGTAGAACCTCACCTGAACCTCCCTGTCCACATTAACATGTTCCATTGTTCCATCGACTTGCAACGCTCAAACTGCTTCAGATGAATATTTACTTTCTCTGTTAACTAATCTCTCATCACTCATTAAACATTGTCAAAACATAAGCATCACCTTGACTATAGTCCAAAGGTAGCTCTTTTGAAAATAAATCTGTCAACAGTTAGTTACATATGATTCAATCATGGTGAAAGGGCAAGTATGGCATCCAAACAGTAACCAAGTAACAGTAATCAAGTGTGGAAGGTAAATAAATATAATTACTATATATAATACTGTATTACCTGTACTGCACAATTTTGAGTTACTTGTACTCAGTTATTATTTAGATATACATACTCAATACTTGAGTATTGATTTTACTTACTATACTATACTATAGTTCTGTTTCACTACATTTCATAGGCAAATATTGTACTTTTAACTCCACAACATTTAATTCACAGCTACAGTTACTAGTTACTTTAAAAAACAACATTTATCAACAAAACGTGTGATCAATTTATGAAGATTATGTATTTTTATGGATGGAACTAACACAACACTAATAAGGTCCTTCTGAAAAATTACATACTACTTATGATACTTTTAGCACGCTTTAGTTATCAAGACGTATGCTCTTACTGAATGCAGGACCTGCAGTGCTTCTTTACTTGTAATGGAGTATTTGTATAGTGTGTTATTGCTACTTTTACTTAAGTAAATTACCTACATGCTTACAATACTATTATGTAAATGTTACACTCTCTTCTAACAAGTGGTCCTCTCTGAAGAGGTGACCATTTAAAACAAACAACAAAAGAAAACCTGAGTACAACACTGCCTCAGTCAAAGGAGAATTACTGATTTAAGAATATATTTATAAAAGTACCTAAAAGTTACATTTAAAAGCATCTCAGTCTCCTCCTGGTTACGTCTCTTCTCACCATGTTGACACAGCTGTTGGGGTTGTTTGCCATTTTCAACATGTCTTAGCCGGTGCTTTCTTCTCCCCACCGCCCCCCCGCAGCTCTGATGAGCTGTATGCCTACCTTACACACTGTCGACCAGATTTATGTATACTTGAGGGAGGAGAGGAGGAGGGGGAGGCGGACCACGACGAAGAGGAGTTTGTGCTCATAGAGGACAAAGAGGAAGAGGAGGAGGAGGATGAAGAAGTGCTCCAGAGGCACCGCAGCTCAGGTGACGACTGGGAGGTGAGTGTTTACTTTCACAGGAGAGAAGACTTATTGACTCAAAAAATTTGAGTTTTCAAGCCTCCAGACATTCTAGAACGAACCGACTTCTACGTTTTGTTTTGTATTTTAATGTGTTGATGTTTCTCTGCAGATGGTGTTGATGGAAGAGAGTGAGGACAAGCCGACCCTGGTCATTGACAGGGATCCTGAAGGTCTCAGTAATATTGTAGAGAGCAGCCGCATTTTAGAAGCCGCACATGTCCGAGAGGTGAGTGACACACACAGCATACACAGACTTTTCACGCACATCTTCAGGGTTCTTATAACTACTAACTTGGCTGCTTTGGAAAGAGTATATTTCAAAATCATGTTGCATCATTAAAACTTATGAAACACTTATGATATTTCTCCAATGACCCTTTTCTTACTTTTAACAAAAAAAATCACATTGACAGTCTTTTGGACTGCAAAAGGGACTTCAGCTGGACTTTGCGACTTTAGAAACGTGTAAATCAGTTGCTAGGAAAGATCTGTAGTGTTGTCCAATCAAAAGCGATCAACTATGTAAACAAGAAGTGGCTGTAACATCACCAGTAATATAAAAATAACAGTTTCAGGGGGGCCAAGCGATATGTTAAACTTAAGTGCCAATTGTTTGTGAATGTAGGTGTGACTTACGTGTGCATACATGGGGGAATATGTATTTCAGAAATAGTTGTATTAATTAAGCAGTTTAGAAGTAGAAGTACATATTTAGTTTAACGTTATAACTCTTCTGTTTCTTTAACGTACTTGGCATATCTGAATTAAATAGAATCTGTGATGATGATGGTTAATAAGCCTGCTGAAGCTGCACCTTCAAGTGTCAGTAAAAAAAGCAAGAGGTTTCTCCCTTTTTTTCCAATTACAGTTTTCTTGGGGAGTCTTGCCTTTAATGTGATTTTGGGCTCTAGAAATAAAACTGACTTTAGTAGAATATAATCCATATTACATGTAGACTTCCTTCTATACAACTTATAAATTAGCAAAGTAGTTTTGTCAGATGGTTCAGTCAGCCATTGAAAAGTTAGCTACACCAGGGAGTTAAAGTAGGAGGTTAAATATTTAACAGCTAAACTCTGTAAGAACTAGTTCGTGTGGTGTAGCAACACTTGTGCTTCAACCACACATAGTTAAATTCAGAAGAGCTGGTGCGACTGGGTCCAGAGCCAGAGCAGAAGAGTGCGTTGTTTGTTGTGTGGATCAAAGTTATGCTAATTTAGCTTTCAATGGCGCATTAAAATCCCCTTCTTATTGTACACAAAGTGCTACGTACCTAGCATTTAGATGTCAGATGTTCATAGTTATGCTCCTTCCTTCCTTACCTTTGTTAAATGTTTCTTCCCTGCTTTAATCTTTTCTCAGCTATGTAAGGAGCTTCCCCCCAGGACTGTCGGCTACACCTGGCAGCTGGCTTACAGTACGTCCCGTCATGGCTCCAGCCTCAAATCCCTCTACAGAAAACTCAGTACCACAGACTCCCCCGTGCTTATAGTCATCAAGGATGCGCTTGATGAGGTAAAACACACCTGGACGTTATCTCTGATATCGGTTATAGATGTTTGTAATGTCTAAAAAATTGTTTTGTTATTGTTGCCGCCTCTTGTGGATTTGCTATATCAGATATTCGGGGCCTTCCTCTCTCACCCTCTGAGGATCAGTGAGACATTCTACGGCACAGGAGAAACCTTCCTCTTCATGTTGCATCCTCGCTTCAAGGTAAGCCACCTAACAGAAATTTAGCATTTTATGTAAAGTCAAAATGGCAGAGTGCTCTAATTAAATAACTAGGGTAAGATAGCTGCATGTGACAAGTAAGTCGAATCTGCCTTTTCCCTGCAGTGCTTCAGATGGACAGGAGAAAACTCCTTTTTTATTAAAGGAGACTTGGACTCCTTTGCTATTGGTGGAGGCAGGTAATGCATTCAGTTTTATGTTCTACCTGGAATTTATTCAGCAGATGTGGTTAAAAAAAAGGGGGGAAAAGACACATTTCTGTAAAAACCATTTCTTTTTCTTTCCTACTCTTTGTCTCTTTTTCCTGCAGTGGTCACTTTGGTCTGTGGGTGGATGAGAATTTGTACCTGGGTCGCAGCAGCCCCTGCTACACCTTCAATAACTGCTGCCTCTCCGAAACTGATGACTTCCGGGTAATGGAGCTAGAAGTGTGGACGTTCAGCTGAAGAGACCGAGCGGGCCGCTGAAATTCTCTTTGACTCACCTCGTCCCTGCTGATCAGCTTTTATGAAGACAGCGTTTATCACTGAGCAAAAACAAACACAGCCACTCATTCATTTCGTGGTTACATATATGTCAAAAAAAAATCTACCACAAACTGCTGAATCATCCGTGTGATTAACTGCTGTGGATTTTAGTGAACTGAAATGAACTGATCTTGAGCAGCTCGATGTCCCAGTGTGGACTGTTTCGTGGTTGACTCATTCCTGTGGGTTTGGCAACCAAGCTGAGTTCAGCTGAACTGAGCGGAGCTGAGCTGTTATGAAACTGGATTTTTGAATCCTCATTTTTGAATGGAGTTGGTTACAAGTCTGAGACTGCACTTTGCTCTTAATGTGAATCAGTAACTTCATGATGTCTCATCGTTGATCGTCCGAACATGACAGTACACCTGTCTCTATAGGTAATGCATGTACCCACTTTCTCTGTGTTCAGTTGATGCTGGACGTTTGGAGCACACATTAGTCTTCTTATGAATAGATTTCTCTATTGAAAACCATACAGCACGTGCACAGCCCACAAATACAAGCGCCCTTCATCAGACTCCAATCATTTTATGGGTGGTATAAATTAGCATCAAAGACAGCAGAAATGAATGCTGAAAATAATCGTGAGGAGAAAAGCTTCCCAACTGAAGAACATCTGTATTTTCAATGGATCTTAGTCTCATTCACGACTATTCTGGACTCTTTTCATTCCAAGTGCTGACTCATACGCCACTGTGGTTTCTGAACATGAAAGATAAAGCTCGAGAATTAACTTCAAATCATTCAACTGTATCCGTAAAGTGCTGTCACGCCGAATGCTTGATCTACTTGACTTCTACTTTGTAGATTAGTTAATAAAATCAGCACAAAGTGAAAATGTTAACTCTAAAAACATTTGTGTGATTGTTAAACTGTACTGTGCGTGCTAAATGTTTCCAAAAAGAACACAATTTCAGTTTGTAAGAGTAAAACCGGTTTTATTTGACCACAGAATAACAGTGTTGCCCCCCTACAGGCTCAGAGCAGTCAGATGTTTCACCCTGTATGACCTTGAAAGTCAAATTCCAATTTATCAAATTTCCTTGTTACTATTTCTAATTAGTTTACCTGTTCCCCCCCGTTTTCTTCCATTTCATACTTAAGAACAGAAACTAGGACCTGAAGAGGATTTATTTTGTAATGACTGGAAAAGGTGATAATGAGACAAATTGTGAAAAAATAGCTAATTATAGGTCCAGATTGTCATCAAGGATTGCCTGCTGTCTAGCTAAAGACACAAGAAAATACATAGCTTTGATTGGAGCCAAAAAGAGGATAACTGTATACAGTAACATGTGCCTCTCGTGATACTTTGACTATTTGGTTCCATTCGAGTTACATAAATATGTAACTAATATGTAAATGTAATGTAAATGTAATGTAAATATGATGTGGCACCCAACCTATGCAGGCCAGCTCCTGTACATATTAAAAACAATGTTCTTTGTGTGGTCACATCATCTTCATCAATATTAAACATTTGGTTTCAAACTCAAAATACAAAAAAAGCAACTGAATTGATTGCTTTATGTGCCACAGTCCAGTTTCGTTTATTATTTTTTTCCTGCTGCTTTTTGTCCACCGAGTCAGAGAAGGGTGTTCCCCTCCAGCAGCCTCAGCATTAACATCAGGCGTTGCCCGGCCCCGAGAGAGCTTTCAGGCAAAGTCTTCACAAACTGCTGAGACACAACTAAGAGGTAACAACTGTACCAGTCCCGTCTCTGGCTCAGCAGCATGGGAAAAAAATCACTCAGTCATTATTAAATATTGCACATGCAACACCAGAATATAAAAAGAAGAAATATAGGATGTTTCGGTACGTTATGATGCACTTGTGATTTGTCGTAGGAATGGCCTCTGACTACATTTTATATAAACATTAATCAGCAGCTATGAGCAGAGAGAGCAGATCTACATGTGTTTACGTATCTGTTACTGCTCAGTGTGCATGTATACTGTACAGCCAGTAACATTACGTTTGAGATGTAATATTTCCCTGTAGGTCTATATGGACTGTCACAATACAAATACAGTATATAAAACTTTATGACCAAGAGAGACGCCCACCTAAATAAATAGTAACAAAAAAAGACAGAAGGCAAAAAACTTTTTCAGCTGCCAACACTGATTCGAACACGTGTCTACATAACCGTCGGAGGGTTTTCCTTATCTTAGATCATTGCCCAGAGGAATGACTATCGTTTACTTCACACAAACACAAATTACTGTGCAATGTACTCCTTGGCTTTTTCCAACCCCTCCTTGAGGAAGCTGATGTAAGTGGATGTGGAGGGGTCTTCAAACCCGCCAGAGAAGCTGAAAGTTGCTCCTTCCTCCTCTGGTTTCATGGCTGTCTGGTCCAGGAAAAAGTTGGCATTGATGTGGTGGACCTAAAGCCAAGCACAGGAGGCAGATGAAAGCCTTTATTCATCCCAGAAAAATAAAACTATAGATTATATCAGTAAATATCACATGTCATGACAGTGGGACTAAAACTACATGAAATAATTTAAGTACAACTGGGATGAAACATTCTTACCTCAAAAGTTAAAAGGGGACTTTGACCTAATAGGTTCCAATTTAAGCCTTGTCCTTGATTAAATTTATTTACTTAGTAATGATTTCATCAGGGGTGCTTCTACACATGATTTCCTGGATGTTTCACACATTGTAGGCTTTTAAAAGAGTGAAACACTTACAATAGTTCCATTTGGCAGTGCCACCATCATCTCCACTGGGAAGCTGTACTTCTCCAAGTGTAAACGGGCCTTTTCACTCAACGCAGGGTTCTGCTCATCAGCCTGTTTAAGAGAAGAAACATTAAGTACAGCATACTTACTTAAGATTTGAAAATGACACAACTGTACTCCATGTGAATAGAGTATCATGCATTTTTCAGTCAACTGATGACTGTCTGAATGTCTTGTTGCTCTGTCCTGACTGCTCACCTGCATGTTCTCCAGCTCTCTGACCAGAGACCAGCTGCTTATGAAGCTCTGGTTGAGCAGGGCCAGGACGGGCGAACTTTCCAGGACAGTCTCCCGGAGAGTTCGCCCCGAACCTACAGGAGTTGCGACAGAGGGGAGACGGAGATGAAAAATACACCAAAGTATACAATTCAAAACCCTTTATGACGAAATGGTTATGCTTTTAAAAGTGAGACATGGAGATTCTGCTGAACAGCGGTCATGGTGTAAGCAAGGGACAGCAATAGAATAATGCTAAAACGCTAACATTAGCACAAGTGGAGAAGAGTCATTGAGTCAATGTGCGCTATAGCTAACATTAGCCACCACATGCTAATGGTCAAACCAGACCGAATAAGGCTGCTGCTGCAAAACCACTGAGGGTACTGAACTAAATTAGGGTGTGTTTTATTGCCTATGAATGCAACTTTTTATTTGTAAGAGGAAGAATGTGTTTTTTCCTTTTTTTTTGCTCTGTGACAAACCAAGTGGCCTGAAACTTGAAAGTGCAGTCTTATCTTCACAGTTAACACTGATATAAAGTTGATTTGATATAATAACAGTAATAACAGTTAGATGTTTCTACTGACTGAAGATTAAACTAACTGTGCCAACGGGCTCGCAGACTGAGCCCTGCTTGTGCCTGAGAAACAGAGCTTTTGAACCATGTCTTATATAAACCTGTTTTTACCACATTTGGATGTAGTCCGTTTTTTGGCCTTGTACTTTAAATCTTTTCTCAGATCTCAGTAACAGAGTGCAAAGCTGTGAATCAACCGCATGTTAATGATCCCACCTCAGCAGGACTGGTCGTCCAATGCTCCCCAAAGCAGAATGGAATGCACCAATTTCTTCTCTGCGTCAGCTCGCTCAAAGGCTTCTGAAAAAGGCAAGTAGGGCACCTGGGTAGGAGCACAACGAGAACCATGAAAGCAGATGTGAGGACAATGAAAACAGCTGTGTTTAAGCAAACGTTGCGTTGAGTAAACACTTTGTGGATGTTTACCTTCTTGAAGGGGTAGAGGGTGACATCCAGGCGTCGAGCAGCTTCTTGCCGACTGATCTCTGAGGTCCAGTGGATGTCCTCAAAGACAAACTGGATCGGTTCAGCGCTACCATCTCGACTGTCGATGATGTTGCCCTCCTGGTCCATGATGATGGAGGGTGTGGACGGGCCTGTGGACTGCAGCTCTAACTGTAGACACATTAATAACTTTTTATACAATGCATTTATAAACATTACATAATTCACTGTGACTTTATTTTTGATTATCTTAGAGAAATGATTTTTATTATCTTTAACATATTTCAGGTAGAATTAGTAAGTTAAATGAAAAATTAATACCTTGGGCTGCACTAAGATAAGAACAGGACGCGCTGGAATATCACATCAATGAAGTAATAATACATGCATCCTTTCAGTGAATTGCTGCAGCTGTACCTGTGGCAGGTATCCGATGTCCACCTCCATGTTGCTGCTCTCACTGGCACCGTACAGCCACTCCATGTCCACATTCAGAGACCTGGGACACAACAGGACACATCACACCAAAGCTACAGCGGCTGACAAGACGCCAAGTGGAGACTGTATGCACAAAGGTGACGGCCCGTGTGAAGGATTTACCGGTCTCCGGGGACATAGAGGTGAAAGTGGCGGACATGAGACGCATCTTTAGACAGAACAATGTTGCCGGTGAATTGCCCTGGCGTGAACCAGAAGGGGAAGTCTGGAACATCATTGAGCTGGAATTCTGCGTGAATCCTGTCAGAGGTGAACAGAATGAGTAGTTAGCACCGCAAGATGTGTGACAGTAAGTGACAGGAAAGCCTCCGTGTAGCCTTTTAAAAGTACATTTCTAGCCTCTTTATCACAAATTGTGTATACTTAACATTACTGCTGACCACTTTCCAAACCATCAGTTATAGATTGATTCCAAACCTTCCAGTCATAGGCTTTATTCCACAGTTTATAAATAGATAGCTTTATATTTGCTAATGTTGCATTACTGTCACACGGAAATGTAGTTGTGAGTGAGGACTGCTTTGAAAACTCCCTAAACTCTGACATCTGAAATTTGAGGCTGCCGCTAAAAAGTACAACAAGGCGTCAGCACAAGATGTCTGAAAGTCAAAGTTTTGCATTAAAAAACGTTGCACTTCACATGAGGTGCTGCAGTGCTGCTTTGAGCTAGTTGAGTGGACTCACTGGGGTGGATCAGTCTCTGCATGCTGATATTAAACTGAAACCAATGGCTGCCTGCCAAGGAGGACATCACTTTCATAGTATGTTCTGGACATTAGTCAGCACTAATGTAAAGTACACAGAGTGTTTTAGTTAATAGGTTAAAAGAGAAAAAACCTGAACCCCTCCTCACCTGAAGACGATGTCATAATAAAAGTCGTTGTTGGCACGAATGCAGGCGACTGTGCCCTGAGGAGCAAAACGTGATTTGATGAAGGGCCGAGGGTGGAACATGCTCAACAAGGAGTGGATGAGAACCTGCAGCGGGATAAGAAACAGCAATCAATATGCAGTAGGATTGTCCCAAGTCTCAACCCAATCGGACGCTAAACAGTGTGAGAATCAGTCTTTGGGATACCTCTTTGCCCTTCGGCGAGGGAGGGTGGTAACGATTGTTGGGCAGGTATCCAGTGAAGATGTTGAGCTCGCTGGGAATCACCCACCACGTGTCCCCCACTTCGACCTTGTTTTTTGGGGGCAAGAAGACCCTGAACTGGCTGGCAGAGAAGGAGGAAGATGGCACTGCTGGGCTCTTCCAAGAGCGCAGCCCACTCAGAGAGCTGTGAGACACCTGCAAGAGCATGATGAAATCAACTTACTCTTAGTGCATTCTTCACTAGAAAGTTTATGTTCAATTAAACAAGTCTAAGATGATTACAAGTTAAATCTCTGCTATTTCATTGTTGATTCAATTCTTGCAGACATTTTGAATGAACTGCCTACACCAAGAGCTGACTCAGAGAGACACAATTTATTGCAATATGTTTCAATAATAATTATTATTTCCAGTAATTTGAAGTATCTTGTTTTGATGGTTAGTTTTAAAAAGTTTGTCCAAGCTTTCAGAATTCACAGTGAATGTGTATTTAAACTCTTGGTGCAGGCTCTTCTGTGGAAGGGCATGTGTCTTTTAACAAAGCAGTCAGCTTACAGCGCCTCTACAGTAGTGCAGAGAAAGAGAACAATAAAACTACTACAGTTTGGTCTTGTCTTACCCCAAGGAAACCATCCTTGCTTTTTGTCATGGAGTCGAGCAGCAGAGGCTGCATTTTGGCCTCCAATGTCAAAGTTTCTCCATTGGGGTCATGGGTCACTTCCTCCTCAAAATCCACCGGGGGTGAAATTCCTGTGTGGAAGCCACAGGGATCAGAGTCAGCATCAGTGGAGAAGGTGGCAAATAAATGTGCTGTTCAGCAAGAAAGATAACGTGATGTACCTGTGAGTTTCTCAGCAATAGGTTTAAACTCCTCCGGACTGAGATAAAGGTCATGGTCGGTGTCTAGGGAGGAGAAGAGAAAAAGCCCCTCGGCACCCAGAGTCCGAACACTCTCTTCCTATTGGATGGGGGGATGTGTGTTAGACTGATCCTTATTGTCATTTTAACATGCATCAGCGATTTTCAATGCAGCATCACAGCGTGAGCTGTCTCAGAACAAAAAACACAAATACTAACTGGAGTGATAAAAACACTGTTATAGAGGCATGATCTAACATTATGTAATAACATTCTTATAAAAAGATGTTGCTGTTACAGTTTTGTCCCTGGTGACAGACCATTAATTCAACCTCAGCAGTGTCGGCTGGATAAAGATCAGCCCAGAGGCCACAGATTCCTAGCATGTGTTTCAAAGACCACCCTTTCCCAGACAGATGCGTGCCTACTAGCGCCTGTACAATGGAGGGAAAAGGGGGAGGGAGGCACAAGAACAACTTGGAGACCCTGTGTAGCCAAACAAACGTAGATTAAAACAAGAGGTTGAGTTTTACCAGCTGTGGCACAGACCCAACCGCCCTCTAATAAAACACCATGGGATGGAAAAACTGCAGATGTGGTTATTTAGTGGCGACTGATGTATGGCAAATAATTAACTTACTCTGAACACACCTTTTGGGGAAAATAGTATTGAAATCTAAAAACAAATTAATTACATTGTACCAGACAGTCAATACAAAGTTTATATTAATACAGACATGCATCTTATTTTAAAGAGCCATTTATTTTCCAAGTTGGTTTCAAGATAAAAACAACACGAAATTAAGATCACTGCTAAATTATGAGACATGTGTAACGTTATTACAGATGTGGATCTCACATGACGTTTGAGGAGCTGGGCATCCAGGTAATACTTGATCCCAAAGGCGAGAAGAGGGACAGTAACGAGTACGAGCAGAGTCCACGGCCCCTTGGAGATCCAGGATCCAGAGCCCGGACTCCGATGCCCATTCTGAGGGGAAATCTTGCTCTCATCTTTCGGCGTTGTTTTATCCACGTCTGCGGCCATCCTCGACCTCCACGGCAGCTATTTAGACGAGGGCATTGTCGTCGACTAACGTACGAAAGGGCATCCAGCGGTAATCGGTTAGTGTGAACTTTCTCCTTAAAGTGTTTAGAATCTACCGACAGTTCTGTTTTCCTCTGCCCGGGGACCGCCCGTCTTTTTCGGTTAGCTAGCAGCACAGATTTCTTATTTCCCACATCAAATCCAGGGACATATGGACGAGGTTCAAATGCGTCAAGTGAGCAAGTAATAGCCAGGATAGAACCGGATATTTGACGTCCGTGTGCTCAAAATAAAAGCACTTATGCCTAACTAGCTAGCCGCAGTTGTGAACTCTATCAAAACGGTCGAAACGTTATTCCTTGTCTGTTTTCCAACAGCTGGTTACGTATTAAACTGTAAGTTTGTGAATTCAAGGTGTCTGCTTGCTTATTATTTGATTTTAAAGTTGGTCGCCCCTGACATACTCTTTATATTCCCGGAGAGACATCCTTAAAGTCAAGGAAATACTTTTGAATATACAGCACGCTCCCGTATAACAGGCAAGGTTTTCTCAAAACACCATGTTTATGACTGAATAACGGAGTAATGTGCGGACGGGGTACACTATTTGGGCCCCCCTAAATGTAGCCGCCAGTATACATTCAAGGGCTTTATTTTGAAAGTGATGACCGGAAGTTTGTTTGGATTCTCTCTAACTTAGCAGACGTTGGGAGCTGGGACAGAAGCCACATTTAAAGGGGCAGGCTTGCATTGTTCATCCCAGGAATGTCTGCTAACAAGCTTCAATTATACGTTTCTCTACCAAGGGAGACAGTCATTAAATATTTTGTAACTTCACCAGTGGAAATGAAGGCTTTGTTTCTACTGGAATTTTAACACATCCTCAATTGGGCAGTTTTATAGTCTCATTTTACAATAACTTCATTTCACATGTGCTTTTTTAGATGTGTTTGTTCTTCATAAAGAGGAAATATGGGGAGAAATTAAGCAAAGGTTAAGCACAGGTTATGACCATAGTGTGATCAGGAGTTGTGCTCAATTCAACCGAAGAGTCCTTCTTACATCGTTTCATTTAATATTTTTAGATGCAAAACATTGGCCTCATTACAAATTTCTCAATATTCGGCATGTCCAGTTTCCTCAATTCAAAATATTATGTACAAACAAAATGACAGTTCAGCCCAATCATCAGGCTCTGTAAAAGTATCCAATAATAGATCTGCTCTTTTTGTCTCGTCTAGTGTCAGTTACTGTGTCCTGTTGTATGGCGTCTTGTCTTGTAAGTTGATTGTGATCTTGTCTAGCACTATGGACTGTGAGAAATGGCATTTCGTTCATTTGTGTACCTGGTATGTGGATGAATGACAATAAATGTAAATGTAAATGCAAAATGTCCCATATGAATGCAAACTGGCTAAATCCACCCTGTGTTATAGTTTATTAGCAATCAACACAGTTCTACACATACTCAATATTTACATAGGTACATGTTGCATTACATTACCCAATATAAGGTAAGGTTTTCCTGATCCTGGTGATAGCCAGAAGTCTTAACAGCCATGCTTTAAGTGTGTCACATAAAAAGCATTTAACAATGCACTCAACATTTGTGACAGCAAGGAATAACAGAAGCATTATCTATTTTGTTAACGCTTCTGTTATTGAGTTTATCAGTCCATGTTAAAGAGGGCAGCTCTCAGTCCATGTCCTCTTCCACAGGCTGTGTCTTCACTTCAACAGTTTTTGGAGGGATGTAGGAGCCCATACCTGCTGCTCTCTCTGCCTCTGCCTGGGTGTAGGGCTCCTCTCTGAGCTGTTTCAACCTGGATGGAGAAAGAAGAGGTGCTGTAGAAACAAGCAGGAATACATGGCCACTGTGCAGTTGTACGGGGCATAATGTTGTTTCAGTTTTCATTTTCAGTCAAGAAATGTGTGTATAACAGAATACATGGGTGGGATATGTTGCCTTACCGTCTTTTGTGCACTTTAGTTTTAAAGTGCTCTTTCAAGGATCTCATATCCACAAAATATCTCCTGCAAGACATGAAGTTCCACAGTGTTAGAAGCTAACTTACTAATGTACTGTTTTATTATTATTTAATCAGATTATTTAATTGAGATCAGGATCTCTCCAGCAGAATTCATAAGACACACAGCCAGTCACACACAGTTCTGATTTTTATGACAGCAATTCTTGAATTTGCAAATAATCAATTTGAAGTTAAGAATCAGCACTATTTGTTTATCTGATCCTGTCGGACAAAAGAAAATTAACGTACGCGCAGTGTAAGCAGTAGTGTTGTGCACATCCTGTCACATCGTAGTCCACCTCCTGATGTAGCAGCTTGGATGCAGTCTCAGGCTTCATGTCTGAGTGGATCTGGTCCAGGTCTTTGGTCCTGCGCTTTGTCTTCCATGTCTTTGAGATGTTCTTCTTCTTGTCACTCTTATGGTTTCCTGTTTGTTTGGACTTCCCCATTGCGGATCCTGCAGGATCGGATGAAATAAGACCAACACAGAAACTTGGTAAAGTTGCCTGTAGATGGATGGACTAAATTATCACCACTATTTGGCGATACGTACCGATAAAACCTGTTGAATTAATCCTGACCTGACTGTCGACTAACATTAAGAAAACAGAAACTCCAGATGTCAGCCAACGTAGAAGTTTTAACACCGAACATGCTATTTTTGTGCCACCGAATCGGGTCTTGTGGACAAAAATGTGTGCCCAACTTCAAATTTCAGCTCAAGACAATCAGCGATACAACAAATTTGCTTCTAAAATGCCATTTGTATATGAAACTTAAGCTTTGCTTACCCTTCACACGTGCGGCCAAGATCGGGATGAAATTTACTTCCGGGTCAAGAAGCATTATGTTATACACCTGCTCACCCGTAGAGAGCGCCACATGCCAGTGTATGAAAGAAAAAGATACGAAAAATAACGTGGAGAACATTAATGATAAAACCAAAAAGTTAAATTTGTATAAGCGTATAATCTTTTTGTTTTTCTACTGAACCAAACTCCCACTTTTATATAATTAAGCGCATGTTAAATAAAAACGTATTAAATGTGTATGCAAAATTAAATTGCACACGTTTGCTATGTTATTTTAATGCGCCCTGCTAAATGGATCAATCAGGTATGCGAAGCTACGTGACATGTTACATTCCTGTGCTCTTCGTAACTTTCTAATGTCAACGTCACCTCGATTAAGGTGTTTTGATCAGAAATGCTAATAGTATGGCAATAACAAAATGAAACCTGTAAGAGAAGTGTATTTACTATTGTCGTAAGCTGTATCGTTATATATGTATCTTTATAGACTCCATGATGAAACAGCAGGACAGGAAGAAGGCAGGAAAAAGAAAAGCATATACCGACCAAGGGTTGAAAAAAGGTTTATAAAACTAATTGCAAGTAACAACAACAACGACGGCAACATCCAAATACAATACCAACAAACTTAACGTCACATTTATACAAGTTGCCCCCTTATGCCATACAGGCTATGGTTAAGGTGTAGTTCAACTGACACATTTTAATATTCCGACAGCACTTGAAGGCGGCGTCAGACTGCACTGCATACGCGCCGTGGCGGAGAGCGAAGATGGCGGAGAATAATGTCGAACCGGAGCACGAATGGAGCGACCGGGCCCTGGACACGGCCGAGGACACTCTGGTTGCAATGGAAACCCTGCTGGCCACACTAAGAGCCTTCGAAGACGTGCTCAGGCAACAAGACTTATCCATAGCATCTTCCACGGAGTACTGCGACAACTTCTGTCAGGTAATGTGTACATGCAACATCGAAGCTAACTGTTAGCTTAACGTTAGCTCACTCAGGATTGTTTTTCTCGCAGCCTGCAAGCTAGCTAATCTGCGACGGCTGCTGCTGTTGGCCCGCTAGCCACCTGGCCAATTTTAGGTTCGTGTATCGCCAAGGAACGACTGCACAGTGCGTATTTTTGGACACATTCACGTGTGCATATAATTTTACACTAAAACAATTTACTACAATTGGCCCAATAATAATGTAGTTACGTTGGCAGATGAGTGATAACGTTGCCTGATTCAAGTTGATACAGTACGTTAAACTCTCCTTACTTTCATTGATATAATAAATCGTTTAGCTGCATCTTATTTCAAAGCAAACGGGAAAAGAGGAAACCTGAAGGATATTTGCATGCGCATGGCATTGCTATAGTTTGCACATTATGCATAATTGCATGTGTTTGGGGCGGGGCAGAATCGGGGTATGTTTGGTTTAATCACATTTTGTAGCTAGTTGGGGCGTAGCTATTACTGCGACATGGCATTTCGGTAAATTTTCAGTAGTTGCGCTTGTCTGTTACCTATCAAATTTTATGTTCTTTGGTTGTATAGTTTCAAATTCTGTGCAGCTGAGCACTTGTTTGTATGTTTGAGTGGACTGTCAGTGTTGTGGATCTGCCATGATGTATTTTTTCTCTCATCAACATGCATAAGAGATGTATTCTTATGTGCATTACCTTATGGATTTGTATAGTTAATTTTAAAAACAAGTATTCGTATAAGGGAATCAAAATGGGGAACTACCCTGGTTTCCACTTTTTATGGTAAACTATTTAACTACTCCCAACAACAGCTGTCACTTTCATTTTCAATGTTTAAGCCAAAGTACATGTTCAATCAGAGAAGAGCTTCCAGTGAAACTTCATTACCAGTTAGAGTTGAGTGTTGTAGAAGAGAGTAAATCATTATCCAGCTCACTCAAACAGTTGTTCTGTCTTAAGAGAATAGCTACAGGAAAAGTGTTTTTGATAGTTTGTCTTTTAAAGCAGTACTTGAATACCAAAATTTTCATTGAAAGAGTTAGTGATCTCTGTAATTGTATCTTCTTTTCCACGCTAATCAAAAGTTAGTCTTTTTAGTGCATAATTCCAGCTTTGTGTTTTGCTGGACAGCATTTTATGGTTGAACTGCAGTGGAGGGATAGTAACACAATGAGCGAGTTTTGTACTAAAAAAGTCTGTAACCTTGGAAGATGCCCATTTGCTTTGTCTAACTCAGACTGCGAAGGCCTCATGTACATTTTTGCACAGAGAACAACAGTTTGATTTTTTTTTTTTTTCTTTTACAGTCATTCTAGAAAGGCTCCTCTTTACAGCTAGTATGGAGAGGAGGAATTATTGCAGCATTACATCATTGAATGTACACATAGGTTGTAACTTACTGAATTTTGGGTTGATAGTAAACAGAAACAAATTGTGTTGCATTTATTTTCTGTTCAAGTCGGAAGTAGTCTGGACGTAATTAGTACACTGATATAGGTCTCCCAGGGTTGCGACCTTATTCTTGGCTCCCTTTGAGAGGTTACCGTATATTTAGACTGAAGGGAATTAATTTAGCGCCTCTGTACACACAAGCACCAGCCTGCAAGGTCTTTGCTGTCTGGCAAATGGGACTCCTGGGATGCTGATAGTGACGATGATTTAATGTGTAGCTACATACCGGTGTCACAGTGGTTTAGACACACTGATGTTGACCCCTCTGTACCTGGGGACAGTTGGCAGTTAAGACAGCATTCCCTGAAAACAATATTGTGCTCTCTGTTAAATGTAAATCATATTTAAGGGAGATAAATAAAAAACCTTTTTAAAAATTATTTTATCCCTCGCGCACTTGCTTTGATAAATTCATACGTTTTTTTTATTTTTTTTATCTGTATTTTGATAACTGGTCTACTTGAAGCTCTTATTGTTTTCTGTGTTCAAATGAATTCGTCGTATGTGTTTTTAATGAACCTGGTGAAGCCAAAGACGAGTTTCCAGAAATGGATAATAAAGTTTTATCTTATCTCTGTATTATGTCTTGTCATCAGTGAAAATCATTTTGGTATAATTCAGAAAAATACATTTTTACATTTGAATTTGGTTAAATTAAAGAATGGAATTAAGTTTGCATTCATTACAAAAACATTTTGGTAAAAACATCCTCTTAACTGTAAAATATTAAAAGTAAAAGTATGAAAAGGTGAAAATAAGTCTTAGTACATGTGTCCCTCCTGGAGTTTTATTTTTTTAGTGCGTGTTTACTGCTCCTTATTTAACGTTCGTTGTCTTATGCTGTACAGTCAAGTCCCCTCAGACCCAATCAGGAGCATCTCACACCAGACAGTGTCAGCTGGGATCAATCCGGTATAGACTGATCTCTCCCTCGGGTGGAAACCCCCTCTTTATCCAGACACCTGTCTCTCATCTGATATCTCCCCTTCTGATCACTATTGTGAAGTGTTTTTCTTCATTATTTAAATTTTTTTGTTTGTGTGTGTTTATAGGCACTGATGCACTATGCTGGGAGCAGGAACTCCATGGAGCATGGTCTGCCTCTTCTGGAGGTCTACTGTCTTTCCATAAACTGTTTTGCTGCGGCCCGTTCCCACCTCACTGCAGAGTCCGACAGGGTGGCCCTTGTTTTGAAGAGACTAGCTTTGTGAGTACTGGAAATCCAATGAAAATATACTTTTGGATTCAAGCACAAATGTGTGTTGTGTACATGCTTACTTTTATTGGTCATTATATGGATTTAAAACTTCTTAAATTTTTTATTAAATCCTTTTATTAATAGCTTGGCAATACAAGCCTATAATTTTTTATTTTCCTGAGGCATTTGCTTCATTTCATGTAGGCTGCACAGTTTTGATGATTGACAATTCTTTTCTTCACTCAGTGATCAGTATTTTGCACCCTTCACGTACCTTACTGGATGAATGCACAGCCAGCAGGGTTGTCATTTGTCTTTTCGCCTGATTTTCAATGTTCCAAAACAGGGTGGCTCTTCTGGAAATGTCAGGTGCCTCTCAAACTATCCACCAAATTTAGTTTCTGACAGACCGCGAGCGTGCTCTAAACCCCTACCTGTAGTTTGCTGGTATTTTGTTCGTATCAGGTTGTGCTCAGTTACTGGTGGTTACTACCCCTGGTTGTTTTCCAAGCTTGAATCCTATCAGAAAACTAAAATACAAAATGTCTTTGGCTTTGTGAGAATATTACCATACTGGTGTGATGTTGCATTGTTCATTAGAAGATAGTGGGTACTTGTCATTTATTTTTCATTTAAGATGGTTTTCTTGGTCAGACAGAACTCACGAGGGCTGGGCGAGATCTCCACTCTTTAAAATGAGGCACATTTTAATTATTTGCACTTAGACATAAAAAAATACTGTATTATGACTCTTGAGTAAAATGTATTTAATAAATTTAGTGGTCAAGGACACTTGTAGGCATTTGTTTGCTGAAATAGAAAGTCATGGTAAAAAATAGTCTGTTTCACATCTCTTGCACATAGCAAAATAAGTTATTTTATAAATTGATGGGATTAACAGAAGTATGGCTACACTTTAAAGTATGTTGTGACCCAAAATGTAAAACCCACATGCAAACACTTGTGTAATAACCCCGGTCAAGTGTGTGATTTTCTGTCCTTGCTTTTCTTTTTCTTTTTTGGCTTAGCACTTGGCAAATATGACATGGATGTGTTACAGTTCATGGAGCAACTTGCTTTGTGTATCCTCTCAAAGCCGTAATGTTTTTATCAGCAGTAAAAATTCCAACTCAACTAACTCTGTTATGAATTAACCCACGTATAAGCACAGGCTGACAGACAGTGATTGGTTGTCACTTTAGGATTAGATGTGATTCTTGTTGTACTTTCAGATGCAATAAATGGTTCATGCTGCAAATGAAATCCTGTCTGAACGAATTTATAGACATGACTTAAATTAGGTCAGTTAG